TGAATCTATTATTTATAGTATCCGTTATCTAGACAAAATTGTGTAAAAACTCCTTTTTCTTATTTTTAATAGCAGTTGCGCCCTCTAGCGGCCGCTATACAAACTTGAAAATAATTTCCAGCAATTTCTCATACTCTCTTTAGTTATAAATATTTCTTTCCACAAGCTTTACGACTATACTTTCCGAGATACAGCCGAGAGCTCTTCTTAGTGGGACACCCGGTACACTTCTGCAAAAAGACTGCCTGTTTTTAGTCATTTTACAAAATGCCAAGTCAAGGCCTAAACTGATCAGCTATGAGCGCATATTGAATAGTTTGAGCTTTAATAAAAACACAACATATTTTACTATAGAAAAACAATAATTTATGTCAAAATTTTAATTTGTTTAGTCGAAAACAACTTGAACCATATTTCATAAATTATAATAATTACAAATAGAGTAATTTTTAATACAAAATATATTAAATACTTAATATTAATACTCATTTAATTATTATACTCTGTAATTCGAGTCTGTTCTTTGTGTAACTTTGCTGTCTTTTAGAATAAAATAAATTTAGTTCTTTATAATAAGCGACCTTGAACACACTTTCATTAACAGAATCATCACTATTTTGTGCCACTATTTCCTAATTTTGAAAGAGTAGTAAAAAAAAATGTAAATAAATGATATTTTATTTTGATGTTTTAACGATATTTTAGATTTCTAGGAATTATTAGTATTATCAATAATTACATTTATTTAAGTGAAAGTGATATTACAGAAGCCAAGGAGGTTGAGGTGTTTCATGTTATAGATTGTGATAATTCATCTTATCTCACTTATTAGTGTTATATCTAAAATATTTTACGTCAAATATTATCAAACTAAAATGAGTTATCAATAATTATTATTTATTTATTTGACTCGAAGCTTGTTTTTTTAAATGAGGATAATCGGTTCTTTTATTGAGATCTACCAGACCTATTTAGATATATTTGCACTTTTTAAGACTCACCCTGTATATCTCGATATTGAAATATATTAAAATTGTTTAATTGTGGAGTTAAGTGGAATCGCACTGTTGATGGAGCAATTCAAAACTGAACTTCTCTCTTTATTTCACTTTTTTTTTCATTATAATGTACGAGTATTAATATAAGAAGGAGAAGGGAAGAAGGAAGAAGGAAGAAGGGAAGATATAACACAAGAAGGAAATTTTACAAAAAACCTACCTATTTTCAGTCGCTTTGCAAAAAGCCTGATCAGAATTAGGCATATTAAATAATGACAATATTTTCTGCAAAAAGGCTGCCTGTTTTTAGTCGTTTTACAAAATGCCAAGTCAAGGACAGGCAGATTAAAACATGATCAGTTTAATCAACTATGAGCATATATTGAATAATTTGCGCTTTAATAAAAAATACCACATATTTTACTATAGAAAAACAATAATTTATGTCAATAATTTATGTCAAAATTTTATTTTGTTTAGATGAAAACAATTTGAACCATATTTCATAAATTATAATAATTATAAATAACATCATATAATTATTATACTCTACAATTCGAGTCTTTGTGAACCTTTGATGTCTTTTAGAAAACAAATAAATTTAGTTTTTTATAATCATCGTCCTTGAACATACCCTCATTAACAGAATCATCACTATGTTGTGCCATTATTTCCTAATTTTGAAAGAGAAGTTAAATAAATATCCTCCGATAAATTTAAATTAGAATGCCAATCCCGCGTAAAATGTTGTTTGCAATCTTACTAGTCTTCATTAGGCGTCACATTAACTGAAAATAAGCGGCCTTTTTGCAGAAATGTACAGCAAATATCATCATTGTTTAATTTGCCTAATTCTGATTAGGCATTTTGCAAACCGACTGAAAACATATAGGCTCTTTGTAAAATTTATTTCTTTTTCAGAAAACTTTTTGTCTAAAATAGATTATAATGGAATTAAGGACAATTTTAAAATAGCCAAAATTTGTTTTTTTCTAAATATCTAATAAACTATGAACTTTTTCAAAAATCTAAAAGACGCATATTTATGACCTCACAAAACTGCAATTCCTTCCCCATTTAACCGACTCTCTCTTTCCAGTAGTTTCCGAAATACCCATAGAGAACATAGTAGAAAACTCACCCTGTATATTGTTTTAGTGGGCCGATTTTTTTTTTTTTAATCAATGTGTTGCAAAATTATTTGACTTTTTAGCCTCGTTATGTTAAAAAAATTGGTCAAGTGCGAGTCGGACTCGCGCACGAAGGGTTCCTAAACCTAACCATTCATTATCTGTACAACATTAGACACTATATTATTATAAACTTTTTTTCCGATTTAGGTGAAATTTTGAATGCGCGTACCTTTATTTAATTCTGTTTTTAGTAGTTGTTCTTATAGCGGCAACAGTATCTGTAAAAATTTCAACTGTCTAGCTATAACGGTTTATAAGATAGACCTTTGTGACAGACGGACCGGACGGACGGACAGCGAAGTCTTGTAATACGGAACCCCAATTAAGTAATCTGTCTTAATTATCTGAAATCGTGTTAGTTAAAAAATATTCAGCATTGCGTAAAAGCATTGTTTAAAACTAAAATGCCAGTACCTAAAATCACAGTATAATATTAGTGTAAATATATTTTTTTCCATTTTAATGTAGGAGTATATAATATTTTGATATATTTAGTTGAATACTAAATGCATTTATTATTATTTTGTTGGAATTGACATTTTCTATCATTTTTAGTTATCTTTATATATAAAAAAGGATGCACTTAAACAGCCGTTAAAATAGATATTGTGACGTCGTTTATGTCGACGGAAAGTAATGCCTAGCCATAAGCATATCAGCAAGAGCACCTGTGGCTCCGTGGCTATCGGTTCGTGAGCGAATAGTCCGGTTTAGTTTCAAATCTCACGCTGACCAACACTTTTTTATATTTTTTTTGCTTATAGCGTGATCTTATTGCATTGGTTTCACTCATTTTGGTTGGATTGGTTTAGTTATTTGGCGGGTTGGTTAGCGTGGTTATTTGGAGGGTGTTAATTCATTAGTTAGTTGGTTATTTGGTGGGGTTGGTTGGTTTTTACTAATTTATATTTGTTTTTTAAAATTTTCTATCAGTGTCGAGGTTAGTTGCGTTGGTTAAGTTGGTTATTTGGTGGGGTGGATAGCTTTGGTTAGTCCTTATATAATTCCTATATTTCATAAAGCCATCAAGTGCGTCACATCAACGACGTCATACCTATTAACGGCATTTTAGTAAGCTACCGTTTAACGGCAGTTTAAGTACAGCCTATAAAAAACAGTATGAACTAAAAAAATAAATCAAATATCCATTTATTAAACATCTTCAACCATCATTTTATAATACTAATTCTAAAATTTAATGTGTTTTTTGAGTTGCCAGCGATAATACCGCACGGGTTGACTCCACGAGCAAAACTGCAATATTCAGATGATGAGTTTCTGATGATCCAGTAGTCTTGTCCATTTACTGCACCGTATCCTACAACCAAGACGCCATAGTCAAAAGCTTCATTCAGAACCTCGCAATTAGTGGTTTCAATTAGCGTAGAAGTTGGTTCTTTTAATTTCAATGTAAGCAAGCAGAACGTCAAAATTAGTGGTAGACATTTTAAATTAGTGGAAAAAGTTATCAAACTTTTGACTTTTCCACTAATTATACTTCAAAATTTGCGAGAAATGTTATTTTGACCTTTGATTATCTTCCGGCAAGAGAAATCGCGATTATAAATCACAAGTTGAGTGTTTTATAAGCTAAATATTAGGCTTTCTCTATGGTTACAACTGACTAACGCAAGCTGTTGCTAGGATATTCTATTAATTTTAATTGTGTTTTTTAAACATTGTGAATGATCGTAAACTAAAAAGTATAAAGTGTAATTGAAACCACTAATTAATTACACTAATTGCAAGGTTCTGAATGAAGCTTAAGTCGCAGAATTATTAGTATTATCAATAATTATATTTATTTAAGTAAAAGTGATACTAGAGAATCCAAGGATGATGTGGTGTTTCATGTTATAGACTGTGTTATATCTAAAATATTTTATGTTAAATACTATCAAACTGAAATTAGGTATCAATAATTATTATTTATTAATTTGACTATAAGCTTGTTTTGCTAAATGAGGATAATCGGTTTTTTTATCGAGATCTGCTAGCCCTAGTGTGCTATTCTGTACAATCATCGGAATCGGTTTGTTACCGACAGCTATCGGTACGTACGGCCAATGAGCGTCGTGTTAATTGTTGTTGTCATAGTGTTAGCTGTCATTAGTAGGTCATAGCAAATTTGTACCGACGACTGTCGGTATCTCTACCGTGGAGTTAACAAGGGTACGGTAGAGATACTGATTCTCGTCGGTACAAATTTGCGATATCTGCCCTATAACCGATCGATAACTATGACAATAACAATTAACACATTTTTACCATATAAAAAAACTGTCGTAACTTACCGATACCGACGATTGTCGATGCCGTGAACAGAATAGCGCTCCTCGACATATTTACACTTTTTTAAGACTCACCCTGTATAATATCTCGATATTGAAATATATTAGAATTGTTTAATTGAGAAGTTAAGTGGAATCATACTGCTGATGGAGCAATTTGTCAACATTGAACTTCTCCCTCTTGAATTGAACTTTTTTTTTTCATTATAATGTACGAATATTAATATTTTGTGATATATTTATTTGAATATTAAATACATTTATTATATTTATTGAATTGAATTTGCTGAAATTTTAGTTTTTATCTGTTCAAAACTTCTTTAGAAATCAGACTTTAACTGAAGTTATAGAAGATACTATGAACTAAAAAGAAAAATCCAGAGTAATAAAAAATATATATTTATTATAAACATCTTACAATTAATACTTCCTATAATAAATTATTATTAATTAGGAACTTAACTAATACATTTCTCATAAAATAATTTTCTAATACTAATTCTAAAATTTAATGTGTATTTTGAGTTATATCATTTATATGATGGGGTAGGTGTTGTCAGCAATAATACCGCACTGGTTGACTCCACGAGCAAATCTGAAATATCCAGATTCACCCCAGTTACTGCCCCATGAGTTTCTGATGATCCAGTAGTCTTGTCCATTTTCAGCACCGTATCCAACAACCAAGACACCATGGTCCAAGTAGTCTGGATCGCAGGTAGAGTCGCTGTAGATCCCTAGAAAATAAAATAAATCCTCAGTTCCTTCTTTAGAAGAAATTACAATCTCCTTTACTTAAGTTTCTGTGTCTATTGCTTTCACTTACTAATTCTAATCAACTTTGTGGTTAAAAATTATAAAAGTGTATTTAAATAATTGACAGATGATTGTGATGCATCTAAATATTAAAATAATGTAACCAGTGATTGCATATCATAAATTCAGGGAATTAATTATACTTTAATTTCTTAGCTAATTATATGTTACTTTTAATTTGAAACTAAAAATGAATGAAAAATATTTTCCTGATAATTGAACTATCAAAAGCTGTATTTGAGATAGTAACGGATTTTAGTAAATATCAATGGGCAAATATTAGGCAATTTTTGTAAATTCTCTGGAATTGAGGACGTGAACTCAACATTTTATGTTTCTGATATCTCTTCTCAGTTATAAGCCAGGAAATTATTAATTGATATTTTAACATTAAGACATACTAAAAAGTCAAATAATTTAGCTACAAATTGCTTAAAAATAATCAAAATCACAACACAATACATAAAACTTTAAAATACATGAAATATTTTAAGGTGGCCGTTCTTCGTGCCGATGAGTACTATCAAACTGAAATGAGGTATCAATAAGCACATTTCAGTTCTCCGGAACTTTTAAAAAAATGGTAAAATTAAAAAAAAAATGGTAAACTTTAATATGTGTTAATAAAAAATAACTAAACTTTCGTCAGATATCTGAAAGCAAAACAGAGTTACAAGACGTCCAAAGAAATGAGAGAGTTACTGACAAGTTATTTGGGAAATGTAATTTGACTTGAAGCTTGTTCTGTTAAATGTGGATAATCCATTCTGACTGATTTGGTATGATAAACGTGTTTAGTGTTTAGTTAGTTTATATAGTTAACTTACCACCACTGTAGAGTTGGATGTAATCAGCATCGATAGCAACGGCTACTGGTCCGGCAGTTCCTACAGCTTCTTTCAATTTGTTTTCATCATTGCTGAAGCTGACATAGGAGCTGACTTTGGTGCCGACTTTGGAAGCGTCGTATTTGCAAGTACCGTCAGTACCTATAAAACAAAAATATGTTCACAATTGTCGTTTCGGGGTCCATGTTAAATATCAAATACCATTTTATACAAAATATATTTAAAAATATATATATTACCTTCGTATGGGTAGTCTGATTCGTATTCAAGACCCTTTTCTTTGATGTAGGGGAAGTTCTTTTCCAAGTATCCACCGCTGCATCCTAAATTGATGTCAGTAGTACAGTCAACAAGTTGTTGTTCGGAGAATCTGCTTAGGGTTCCAGTTTTGATAGCGTAGGCGCCTTCAGTAGATCCAACCTAAAATTAGCAAATGTTATTTCATAAGATAAAATAGATCTAGATTGGAATTTACACGTTAAGAAGCTGAAATTCATATAAAAAATGTTTTTTCTTTCGTTCGATATAAAAAATAAAAAATATTTCGTCTTGTGAGCCAGCTGGACAGTATATGAAGAGACAAATGGGCTAGTTAGAGATTATATTTTATGAACAAACAAACTTTCGTAATTACGACTTTTCATTAAAATAACTAGATGTTTATAGGGCTTGTATACTGTCCAAATAAGCTATAAGAAGTTAATAAAATACTTACAATAGCAAAAGCCCAGCATGAACCACAAGAAGCCTGGTCTTTGATGGGGTTGACGGCGTTCTTCTCTCTCCAATCGATGGAGTCGGGAACGGAAGCTCCTACGGGAAGCTCGAATGTTTTGTCAGAGTCGTATTTAGGTTTGGTGGCAACTTGAAGAGCAAGCATGGCTTTGAATTCAGCGGATGTCATGTCGGCGAATTTGTTGACTCCTAATTAAAAGTTGAATTAATTGCAGAAGCCAATCTTAAAATCATTTCTATACCTTTGGTGTAAGTTTCAAGACCTTGTTCGAAACGAGCATTGTGGCTTTCGATAATGCGAAGATTGTCTCTGAAGATGGCGAAACGGGAGGTTTCTTCAGCTTGATTCTTGTAGGTCTTGCCGTGTTTCACCTGCAGCATGTAAGTAAATAATAACCATGATTGATATATAATTTACAAATTTATATATTAAGTAAAAATTAGTGTATATCGTGGAGACTCAAGAAGTCACATATATATTTCATATCAATTAAACTTTTAGTTACGTAATCGAGGGCACGATTTTTAAATTCATTGTTGCCGACCATGGACATATTGCGTGCTGACTAACTGGACTTTAAATTTCGCACTGGGGATTCAGATAGTATATAGCCGCATTTATTTATTTACCTTCTGACATTGTCATTCGTTCTGACACTTTAGTTTTGTATTACAAGTTTTTGGTTTAAATAAATAGTGTTGTGATACTTTAAGCTTCAAAATGTATACTAGCAGACCTTGCAATCGAAGATTGTTCTTTTTAGAACCTCTTTTAGTGCGAAGTGTACAAGATAGCTTAATATTCGTAAAAAACTCATGGCAAATTTATTAGAATATTTTGAACGGGAAAGCAATTTTGTATTACTATATTTTGAATGACACGCAATGTTTCGCGTCTTTATATTAGCAAACAACTGCCTGTTAAGGATATCCATGGCGCTCTCATTTCGAAGATATATTTTATAAAATAATTAGGAAGCTTGAAAAGGATTTTATAAAGCCATGTTTCTGTTATAAAATATTCTCAACAAAAGTCCCGAGCCATCTGTTTGGAAGAATTGTATTTAGAACCTATGTACCGTACATTGTATGAATTTAATTTTTAAAATCACAATTACCCCACCATATCATAGAACAGCAACATTTAATCGTAGCTTTAGTTATAACATAGCAAAATGGTTTAATTCTTTACCTCTGTCCAAGACTTTCTTACATTTAAACAAAAATACTCTAGAATCATAATATTATCAATAAATTTTAACTCTACCGATCCGCCATCTAATATTTATTACTTAGAATATTTTATATAATACAAGTGTGTCTCTCTGATCAACTTAACCAATATACCAAGGAAAAAAAATGCTTTTAATGCTTAAGTCTTCTCTATATTCAACAATTGTTTACGACACAGTTCAACAAAAAATATATTTTTGGCAGCTTACTGCTGTCTTTAAAAAAGGATTGTCCCCGAAAAATGTATATAAGAAAAGTACATAAAAGGCGTTTACTGAAGTATAAACATAGGTTTTCAACATTTTTCTGTCTCTTGACTTCGATGTATATTAATTTAAAAAAAATGACATTATAAGTGTATATTTTTTTCTCATATTTTTGCAGTTTTATGAAAATAAAGGTTAAAAAAACTAAAGCGAATCTTCCAAAATCATTGATAGCTTCATATCAGAAATGAATCCTTTATCAAGGGCAACAAAACCACTGATGACCAGTATACTCGTAAATTAAAATAGCAATTTTAAAATAGCATTATTTATTTAAATGAGCGAATTCAATTTAATAGTACGAGAACTAGCAACGTCGGGAAAAAAAGTATTTTAAGAAAGCTGACTCTTTAATATATCGTTAACTATGGTCTCTGGAACAGCATGCGGCCCGTCTGCGCATTGAAAGAAGATCCTATATCTTTATTAGTCCTTTAAATTCTAGTATTAAATATAAATCGAACATGTCTCCATAGCGCAGTGCGTAGAGGTTCCGCCTATCAAGCGAGGAGTCAGAGTTCGAGACCGGGTCAGGGCAGAAACTTTCTTATTTTATTTTCGTTTATATTCTGATAGTAAAGTATTAAATAATTCTAGTGATTAAAAAAAAACAATATTTAATGCTTTACTATCAGAATATAAACGAAAATAAAATAAAGAAGTTTTTGCCCTGACCCGGCCTCGAACTCCGAATCCTCAGTTCGTTGTCGGAAACTCTACGCGCTGCGCTATGAAAACTTGTTCGATTAATATTCAATACTAGAATTTAACTGACTCAATAAAAAAAATATATATGATCTTCTTCCGATGCGCAGTAGCGAACGCAACGGGTATCGGCAGCCAGATGGGCCGCATGCTGTTCCAGAGAACTTAGTAAAAGGTATATCAAAGAGCCAGCTTTCTTAAAATACTTTCTCGAAAACGTTGCTAGCTCTTAGACTATAACAAATGTGAATCTTACCTTGAAAGACTGGAACTGGGCGCCATCTTGCTCAAGCAGAGATGAAGCACTGACGGCAACTACCAAGAAACTGGCTAAAAGAAAACCTTTCATTTTTACTGTTTGGTGGATACTGGAACAATATTTTGTTTATTTTTTCGAATCTGTTTTTATAGTAAATCCAATTGATACTACTGAGAGATAAAAATAGCCCCTTGATATATCGACAACGTGAGGATGAAAATGCAATATTTTTAAATCATACGCATCACAATAATTAGTTTAAGAACATTACGCGACAAAAGGTTAAAAATGCGTGCAGCAAATCTAGCAGTTTCAATAGCTGAGCGGGTGATTGAATTTCGATGCATTATATCTCCGGTTTTAAGCATGGACCAACAACAAATTTTAGTGAGTTATTTTAGAATCTACCGAAAATATTTTTGTATTGTTAAAAATAATTTTAAAATTTCCATTTATTTTTAATTTTTGCGCGAGCACTACTAGGGAAACTTTTTTAAAATCCAAAATTAATTTTGTTCCTCTTATTTTTTTATAATTATTTCATAATTTATAGTACAAGAAAATAGGCCTTGAATTTTTTATATATAAGTTATCTTGAAAGATGTAAAAACTAATTGTAAAATATATTTTTTTTTAAATTCACCCCCGAGAAGGGGTTAGGTTTACTAAAATAATCGTTTTTGTCGTATTTTTTTTAATGTTTATGGTTACTGCACCCTATGTTTATATTCTTTTTGGATTGATTTTTTTTGCTACTAAAAGAATCGTTGTTTATTACATTTTGTTAATGTTTGTATTTTAAGTTATTTTTTCCATAGCAACTAAAAATTGCCTTATATCTACCAAAAATAGTAGATAAAATAGTACTTTAACCGCAAGGGTAGATTAAATGATACTTTAACAGCGAGGATAGGTTAAAAACTTTATTTCTTCTCGCGCGTTTTTTAATTGCTTCCATTTTTGAAAATTTTTGTATTCCTTTTCATAAGTTATTCGGGATTTAAATGGAGGTAGTTTGGATATGGCCTTTGTCGCCTCAGCCTGAGTATCTGTTGATAATTTACTTATTTCGTTTTGAGCCATTTTTGGCTCCATATCAATCCGCAATCGACACGAAAGAGAATTAAAAAATGTTGAATAAAAACTGACAACTAAAGAGACAGCTTTATTTATTTGTCAAATTACATAGAAACCAACGCCAACCCAGCACAATATTTTTTCTACTCGTAATAAATTTAATTTGAAATAATAATTTCTAAATATTTTTTAAAACTAACTCGCTATGAAAAAAAATATTGTTTTATAGACGACGATAAAATTGCATTATCGTCTCCCGAAATTAATTCATTCTCGTGAATTAATCTTTTCGTTCGACGATAAAATACCATTTTATCGTCTTGTATAAAAAAATAACTACTAAATCCTCTGAATTGAATGAAGTAATGAGGTTTTAGTTTCTTGGTTTCGTGTTTATGCTGTTTTTTTGAAATGAAATATGATTTCCAATTAATTAACAGGAAAAAATTTCAAGGTAACTCGTTTTTATTTTGTAAATCCCGGGATCAAAAAAATATAACCCCGAAATCCCGGGATTGAATGCACTAGTAAACAGGCAAAAATGAAAAAAAAAATGGAAATTTTAAAATTGTTTTAATAATACAAAAATGTTTCTGATTAATTCACTAATATTTGGTATGGGTCTTTATTACAGCCGCGATTTATTGTAACTACTGAGGCTAAAAGGAGGAGTTGAATCGAATGCAAAAATTTTGTGCCCAGATTTCATGATCTAAATAAAGTTCGAAAATCGCCGTTAGGGGCGCATGTATTCCTACCGATCGAGAAATACACAGCTTCTTATGGCAATAATAATTACTTTGTTATAAATTATAGAGTCCAGTTAGTATTTGGGCATATTTTTACCAGATTTAGCTTTTAGAAACGGTTTTTTTTTCTAATTGAGCAATGTGCGTGGCTAAAATTGTGAATACAAAACCTGAAATTTGAGTTTGAAAAGTAAGTTAGAAGTTAGGTTATATGAGATGCCGGTTTTAGATATTCTTTCTCTAAGTTGTTATTACAAAATTGTTTCATTATATGGCTCTTTTTAGTGCATAGACGACCGAAGAAAAATATAAGCTGCTAAAATAAATTTTCCCTAGAATTGTTGTACAAAAAAGATAGAAGTTCCAGCAACAAATGTATCACCAGTCCAACCTTTGATTTAATGTAAACAGTAATTGTTTCTTGATGAGAAATGCAAATTAAATAGTTTATGATGTGATTGTGTTAGTGATTTATTAATAGTTTTGCTGATGCAGTTTAAAGATTCATGGGTTTTCATAAAAACATTTGAAATTGACATGTTTACATGCAGTTCAGTGATACCATTTTAATACACATTAAAACTTTTCGAACTAGTAGTGGTTTTATGGTAGTTGACAGAAACTGAATCACGAAGATTAAAAGTAACTTCTTCTTGTAGTACCATCTTCTAATGAAGGTTGGCAACAATGGCGGCGAAACACTGTCTGTCCTGTGCAGCTCAAAACTGTAAAAGTAACTTAATAACTAATAACTTAATCGTCGAAAGTGAAGATGAACATTACCATTGCACCCTTTGATCGGTGTTATCTATCCCATAAATTTTTATAGCTGAAACCAGAAGTACATGAAGCTGAAACCAAAGACTACACAAGACGATACAGTGGGACAGAGAAACGATTTTAAAAAAAGACAGACGGGGTCGCACTTTAAAGGGACAATTTCCAAGCAATTACATTCTTGCCAAGTATAAAACAGTTAACTGAATTCAATAAAATATATCTTATTATAAAACGAATTATAATACTAAATATATAAATACCAATGCAATAAAATAATTACATCTAAGTTATATTCATTTAGATACTATTATAAATGTAATATTTTTTGTGTTACTAAAAATTTTACTGTAGTAAATTATAAAGTTTCACAAAATTCAGGTAATTTTTTTTATACGTGGCAACATTGTATTTCCATCTGACAAGTTTATTTTCGCCTGCTAATGTTTTGAAAGGTTAGATGTGGGTTATATTACGAATTATTTCTTTAAAAATTCTTTTCCGTATGATTTGTGAATTTGTCAAGAATATGTTGAATACCTAGTTGGTGTTTGGATAGAAAGAATACCTTCGAGTCGTTTCGATCTACCCGCAAAGAATACAAAAATACTATTTTAAGAAAATACCAAGTAGGCGACAACAGGCAAGTAAAAATAAGCAATTTAAGTAGAATAGAAACACAGTTGAACTTAAATATTTTCGAAAGTGTAACAGCTAATTGAAGATTAAATTCTATTTAAGAAAACCAAGAATCATAACTGTTCTGTTATGTACTTTATATGATGAAAATTTTCAAAGAACTATTTAAAGATTATTTTTAATATTCAATACTTATTATTGATATTGTTTCATATAAGGCTATGAAACCATTGTATATTAAATCATAAAAATATTTTTACTATGGCCATAACTTTTTGTTTATATTTTTTAGGTCTTGAAACTGGAATGAATTATGTGGACATTATTTTCACAAGGAATATAACAATTCAAGAGAATAGACAAGATTACTGCTCTTTTTGCACAACTAATTTACGTAAAGGCAAGTTTATTGTACAAAATGTAGGACAAAATAAAAGTCAGTTTAATAAAGTGAAAAATGTATTGTTATAAAATTTACAATTTATGTTGAATATCAATAAAGTTATGCATAATGTCTGGGTTATCTTCTTCCATTAGGATCCATGGTTCACTTTAGCGACAAAATATCCAAAGTCCATCCTTCGATAAAATATAAGTATAAGTTGAGTGAAATATGTAAAAGCCTAGAGAATACTTGCTTAAATATTTATATATTTGGTCTATATTACACTGAGTTACGTGTTAGACAAATATTTTCAACTTGGTTAATGAGCAATTCGTACAAAAGTTTCTTTTTCCACTTGACTGTTAGAGGTAGTAAATATTCCTAAATATATATCTCCTTAGCTTAATATTCAGTCACTTTCAAATGTATTCCTTTTACAATAAATAATCTTGCTTTTCAATAATTCTTGGGAAAATACTGTCACAATAAGAGTTTCCTAATATCATTAATCTTAATTATCTTCTAAAATTTATTCCTAAATATCCTAGATTGTATGCTTATCTCAATTATCAGTTACCTTTTACCCAATTTTTCCTTTCATAGAAATCAATATTAGAGAAAAGTCTTGATAAATAATACTCTTCATATCTCTTCGCCAATGTCTGTAACATTTTCTGATGTTTTCATTTTCATATTTTATGAAAGTATCTATTTAACTATTAAAACGTTCGCGATGACACTACACAATAACTTTTTTTTCTTATTTAAGTAACAATTACAATATTAAATATTTCAACTAAATATTAAAATTTACAAACTTGTAAAATCGTAAACAAGAATATAAGGTTAGAAAATTTCTGACCGAGTGCAACCTTGCCAATTTTTTTCAATGTTGCCATACTTTACATAATAACTTAAATAGTATTAAACAAATTATTGTTGTACTCATTACTACACCCTTCAGCGATCCTCAAGTTGAATATTCATGTCTGGTCAGAGCCACAGCGCTCGCCAGACACTTTGGTTTTTCGAGCCGGAATCGGACAATTAAATATAATTATCGTGCTTTCTAATGATTATTATTATCATACTTGGCTTCCTTGTGCTACTATGTCTTTCTTTATCACGTTGTATTGTTTTATGTAGTATGTTACCCCCGAGTGATGAGCTGTATGCATATGACTATACTCAGATTAGTCTTCTCAATACACAACCATGCACTTTAAACACTATTGAGCCACGTACTACATCTCAAATATCCAATTAGTACAATTACTGAATAAATACAATGTTCACATGAAACGGCGGAAAGTGCGAATTCTGAGAGTTGTAACATACTGTGGGATGCATTCACATAGCTCCTCAGTATCAGGAATGATAGCTAATTATACGGTCGATGTATCACATGATGTATGTAACACGATACACCGTGATGGTAGTCTGCTGTTCCTTGGAAGACATCAAATTATAAGCCTTCAACCTAACTCCAGTAGCAGACATTCTTTAACCCTAGCAG